CAGGTAAAAATAATCGCATGATAAAACACCTTTTAGTCTAAAATTTGTGGAGTCCCCATTATCTGCTGAAGCCCTTGCCATCTTTATGCTTCCCCAGACTTGCTTTGACATTTTACTGAAGCTCAGCATGGCTAACACTGTGTTCTTCCTTCAGTCTCTACTACACTATAGAGGGTGTCAGCTCAACTTGATAGTGATTGAGAAACTTACTAATTCTGGTCTTCGTCTTCTTTGTCTGTTGATGCAGATCAGATTGGTTTAGGCTTGTTAATTTATTTTTTTAAATGAAATGTTAGTTCAGATGAAATGCATTAAATTTGGTCAGATGTAGGAAGGCTGCTAGCATCACACCATAGTGGCACTTCTGGTACCTTTTAAGAAAAAAAAATAAATATTGCACCAAGATTTTTTATAGTTTAGAAGCAGAGCAGGAAATCTGCACCAGAATTTTGTATTAGTTTCTCTTCCTTTCCTTTTTATCCCAGAGTCACAGCAGAGTGTACTCTGAGCTGACTGAGAAGCACGCTGTGGATGAGGCATGTGCATTTGACGAAGGAAAAGGTTCAGTTAAGTGGCACAGACCAGAAGGTAGACAGCAGATCTGTTTACTGCCTTGAGGTTTTGTGGTTATGCACTAGAGCTTTCCAGTTAACAAGCATGATCTAAGGATGAGCTGACGACGCCAAACACGCAGCAGTGATCGAATCCTAAGTGCTCTCTGTGCTAACACAATTGAGGCATGTAAGCCCTTTGTTTGAATGATTTGAAGATATCGTGGCACAGTAAGATGATTTGGAGATTTAAGTCAGGCTACAGCATATTCTCCATATGGCCACAATAAAAAGAAACGCCCCTGTCACAGTCATGGATTAACATTCTGTTATTTTTGCTTGATTTGAAGAGTTACAACAGTGGTATCTAGTTTCTCTCCCTAACATTCAGTGTTTAAAGGGGAGACAGGAACTTGTTCTCCTCACAGTGACTGTGCTGGCATGAGTTTGATGGACCAACAAGTCCTTACTGTCCCCAGGCAATCTGGGGAGCATTTCCGCTGAGATTTATGACCCGTGCTGTGGTTACCACAAGGATGATGCCACAACACACAGTTACAAGTTAAAGCCTACTCTGCTGGCTTCCCACTTTCCTCTCATTAACTGGGTCATTGCAACGCTTCAAGGCTTAGCTTTGTTGCTAAAGAAATATTTAAGTTCAGAACGCTCGTATACTGCTTTATTTTGTTTAATGCAATGGGCTGTATTTAGTTTTTGTTGAGGAGAAGATGTGGTTTGGCCTGTGTTTAAAAAAAAACGAAGTTTAAATCCATCTTGGGGGCAGACCCTAAAAGAGTGTGGTAAACTCAAAAGTCCGTTAACCATTTATTCCAAGAGACAGTTCCACATGTGGACACTCAGCCACTAGAAGAAATAGATAATGGTCTTCTGCTAATACTAATTGTTCACTCTCCCATTGCTTTCCTAAAGGCATAAATGTGTTGATCCCACACAAGATGCTCAGTCTGAGCCCAAGGCGAGCAAAACGGCACGGAAAGCTGCTTTATAATTAATACACACAGTATAAAATATTGATTGTGAGAAGGATGTGGCCAAATATGGATTCTTTTTTTGTTTGGATTTGCACCAAGGAATAATAACCAGGTATTGTTTCGTTCTTGAGGAGAAGCAAATCTGCATTCGATTTCAGATTTTTATGTCTTCTCTGATGGTCTGTCTGTTGAGGAAGTAAAAAGTCAACACATCGCTCTTTAATGTGATCTAAACCTCAATTAAAAAGAAAACAGCAAATCTTTTAAAAGAAGATAAATACTATTTGTCACAATGATATGGTTGTATAAATGTGTACTAATTACTGGAGACTTTGCTTTCAGAACTAACCACCTCATTCGAAAGAACATTAAAGAGGAGTCAGTATATACTGATTAATTATGGTCACTGGTGTAGTTTGTTGGACCTGATATTTTCTCAGTTGCATCTCTTTACAGAAGCTATGGTCTGCATAATACTTTCAAAGCATAAAAGGGATCTCACTGTTGAAAGATGTAAGTCAGGAGAAGGGATGAACGAATGAGATACACCATAGGACACAGTGCAGAAAGACGCCATCCAGTCGAGTAAATGTGGTATGACACTGACATGACCACAAACTGGACTTTGATCCAAAATCGATGAAAAATCTCGAAGAAAAGAGTTATGAAGGCAGATACAGCTATCTCCCATCCATTCATTTATATTGGTTAGAAGATAATGTGCCAAGATAATGTGCCTTAAACACTTTTTGAAATTTCTTTATAGCATTTTTGGACTATAATTCCCATTCCATTAAAGAAATGCCTCAGCAAAGTTTTAGCTTGAGACGTGTTCCTTAAAAGTTCTATTTATTTTATTATCGAGTTGTACAGGTTATAGGCCAAATAAAGTTCTAAAAATGTGTTATTTGTATGTGCTACACAAACTTGGTGTCTTAATAGGAGAAAACAGACATTTCCACTGTAGGTGGGTTGAGTGCACAGATTCTGTGGGTTGGATAAACACTCTCTGCTTAGCATCGTTTTGTTCTATAAGACTAGCCACCACTGCTTGTTTTGTTTTGATCATTAAAGGTGAGGTAACAGCAAGAAGTGCACATTTTTAGGTTATTTTTTTTTCTGTTTTCATTCCTATTAAAAAGCCACAACAATGAAGTAAGCATGTCTCTCCTATTGACAAAAAAACATACCCAATCATAAGCAGATAGAAATCCTCTTATATCTTAACACCAAGCTCAACCTTTACCCTGCTATCACCATGCTGCCTTGCATACATATACATGCAGAAGAGTTGTGTCTGATTAGCAACCACATCTCAGATCTCTGATTAGGTGTGGAGTAAATGAAGTGCCCCCCTCTGGCATGCATTTCCATAATGTCAGGTAATTAAACCCCAGTGTTTTAATAGCTCAGGAATAAGGAAGGCTCCCCATGAGACCAGACAATGATGATAGATGATGTTGAAAAACAGTATGCCGCTGGCTTGGGTTTGAGCTGACTTTGAAAGTGTTGGATTTTACTGAAAATACAAATGTGCCATAAAGTTTGATGTTTAGGACAACGCCTAAGCAGAAATTCAATATATTTCAGTTTTGTATCAGTGCGGAACCGTTTAACACGAAGAATTCAATTTTTTGTTCTGTTATTGTACAACAAACAATTTGCAATAGAGATGATGTGGTATCCTCCTCCACCTTTTTACAGCTACAGTGTTTTTTTCTCTCTCTCCTCAAAAAAGGAGGTGGCAATTATCAGGTCATCATGCTATCTTGCTATAACAAAAATTTATAATAATATTAAAAGGATTTTTTTTTTTTTCTTAACAATTCTTGACATGTCTCTCGAATAAAAAGAAAAGAGTCAGATTTTTCCAGGAAATTTACCACTCTCATTTACACAGAGTTGTTCGGGAATGCATGCACATTTGAGCTATGTGCTCTTTGTTGATGGCTGACAGATTCCAGAGCTAAACAAAGGCTGCGAGAGCATGAGTGTCTTTTTTATCACAGAAAAACCTGGAGAGGTGCTATTGTAAACATGACAGTGGATTGTCAGTACATCCCTGTTTGAGTTGTTGCTTTATGTGTGTGTGTGAGTTGTCATACTGTATGTGCGCACAAAGACCACACAGATGCGCAACAAAAGCCCTTTGATGAATAAAAAAAACCTGCTGTAGGAAGGTTTTCTTTGTCAGGCCCACTCATATTTGTGGGTCTGAAATGAGAATAATGCTTCCACAGAATCCAATAGAGGCAGATTTGAACTCCAGATGTCACTTCCTTTATGTAAATTACGCTCTAAAAACACTAATAAATAAGGACTTCTTTGGTAATGGCTCATGGTTATTATGTGTTGCTGGGGCAAAAAAGACAAGCATTTTTGACTAAATAAGCTTTTGAACAGGGCTGATGCTGCAGCTCTATCTGAAGATAATTAATCGGATGTTGTGAAAAACCATTCTTTTAATCTCTGATGTATGAACTACACTTCAAGTGTTACTGCTACCTACTTTGAATTTCATAAAATAACAGATGTACCTTAAAAGTCTTTTAATCTTTCTTGTCGTATGTGAAAACGGATTACTCAAGCCAAAAGAAAAAAAAAAAAATATGGGTTAATTTTTAATGATGCTCTACTTGGGTTTCTTCTTGCAGAAATGGTATGTTATGTGTCATTCATTAATGTCTGCCAAGGGATGATAAGTGTCTGTGAGCTGAACTTTCTTGTATTTGCTTTGCTTTGCAGATGTATCAGATCAAAGAACTGAGCCTTATTAATAAATGCCACAATCATTTTAGTAATGGATGCCTTTTCACTGAAGCATGTTTTATGCTCCTTATACATAAGGTTCATATTACCTTTCAGCAAAATACATGCAACTGCCATTTTAAGTAATATAGACATTTTTGTGCTGAGCACAACTAATGTGGTAGGAAAAGAAAAGCCTCACTCATAATTCACTGTCAAAGAATGACACATTAGCTGCCAAATGGCTGAAGTAGTTGTTCAACTAAACCACTTTCACACACAATAAAGCATTTTGTACATTCGAGATGTGACAAACTATTGGCTCATATTCATGTAACAATTGTTGGAAGGTAGGAAGCATCAAAATACAAACACTTGTTTTGTTTGGAGCAGCTCGTGAAATGTTTGATTGATTGTAGATTCAATTGAAAAACAAACTGTTTTTGCCTGTTTTTAAATGATTTTCACCCTTTCCATCTCAGAGTATTTGTTGATTTTTTTGTTTTTTTTGTTTTCCTTTTACAGTTGGTAAAGTATAATCTGACAATCTTTTCTACTAGGTTAAATAAATTATACTGTGGAAAAAAAATGTAAATGGACATTTTATGGATTTGAAACATTGCTCTGATGTTATTGAAATGATACTGAAAAAGTCTTATTGATATTTGGGCACTTGTTCATATGCGTATTGACTTTCTCTTTTCTCCTCTCATTTCAGCAAACACCAGTCTTCTGGGAGGAGGCGGAGGTGAGTAATATTAACATTTAAATATATTTAATGTGTGTACATAGTTCCTTCTGTGTATGAATAGACCAGCCTAAAATGTTGTATTGCTCATTTAGAGAACTTCACAAATATTTTGCAATGTATTTATTTATTTATTTTTTGCCTATTGTAAATCTAACTAAATGTTCTGTTAGATCAAAATATTACAGCGCTTTGCAGAGTAACCTTGCTCTGTGCCACTGAGAGGTGGTCATTACTTTAGCAGCCTGCCAAAGAGCATTATCATCAAAGCAAGGAAGCAAACCCAAGGCAGCCAACTGTGGTGTGAGAATAATGGGGAGGCAAGAAGGGGGTTCCTGCCCACTCTTCTATCTTCTTTCCTTCTTCTTTCTATGACGTTAGACATTTTTCGTGACATGATTGAGATAATAATTCTTCCCCACTTTGACAACAGATCTGGACAAAATGCTCTAGGTTAAAAATGGAATGTTAATTTTTATCCCCACAGGGGATTTTTTTTATCATATGTGGAAATAATGTGATCTGCTTCAGTCTTGTGTATCCTATCGACAGTGCAGAGCACCAGAGTTAATCAGCCATTTTCTTTGTTAAACATCAGCAGAGTATCTAGTTAGGATTTGACTGCTAATAGCTAAATTTTAGAGCTTTCTTCTTCAATGCTATGTAACTATTTACCTGTGTAGGTTATATAGCTGTGTTAACTATGTTATACTTAACTATGTCATTTACTGTGGTAGCAAACTGGTTAGGTTGCTATTTAGTTATCTTAATCGCTATGTGACTATTTTTGCTGTAAAGCTTATTTTCTTACCACTACCTGTCAGTCTCGCTGGCTGGCTACTTATTTTCTTGGTGAGTAGGCATAGTCAGTTTAAGTATCTAGCTAGGTTTCCTGCTTGCCTACCTAGCTTTTAATTATCTTGCTCTCTAGAATGTTGTCCAGGCATTCAGCTAGCTAACTCGTCTATCTTTATGCCTAGCTGGCTGCATAGCCATGTAGCTATTTAGCTTGTTGCAATCATGTTTACTGTTGCTGCTTTTGCCATCAAGCTGTTGTCTAGCTTGCTATTTATTTAGCTTATGATCTAGTACCATTGTTCACTGCTTTAGCTATCTTGCTTGTGCTTTGGCTTGCTTTTTTTAAGGTTTTGTTGACTCCTTTATTTGACAGTTGTCAGATAGGAAAGTGGGTTGTGAGAACAGGAAGACATGTGGCAAAGGTCATCGGACCGGAATTCGAACCAGTGACAGCCGCATCAAGGATTAAGGCCTCCATACATGGGTTGTGCTTTACTCCTAAGCCACGACCACATCCCATCTCTTTCCACATTTGACAGGCTTTATGGAAAAAAAAAAAAAAAAAAAACTTTAAGAAACATGTTCAGTACAACAGAAAATAAGCTGAAAATAAATACTGTTACTTTCATGGCAATTAATAATTTATTTGTTTGTGTTTATTAAGACCTACCACCTGGCAAATATGAATTATTACAGACAAAGGCTGAGCAGAGAAGAACTTCAAAGCCTCAGCATAGTTTAATGCTCAGTGCACATGCTGTCAGAGACATGAAGCTTCTCGCTTCTCATCATGCTCCTTGGAGTGGGCCTTATCTTGTTTGATAGATGGTTAAGGGTGCTTGCTTGCAGTGCGGCTTCAAAATCTGTCACTCACAAGAAGAGACCCTCAGCATACGACTACTTTAAGAATTTCTGTGATTGAGAGCGAAGGTCACAAACATACATCTCCATTACCAAGCTAGGCCCTCCAAAACAGGGTACACTGTTTTCCTGATTGGTGTCTGTCTCTGCTGCGGTCAGATCTCAGTATTGATTTGCCATGTACAGAGAAACAAAACAAGGCAATTTTCTTTTCTATTAGGTTCTCATTACCGTCGCATTGTGGAATATCACCTTTTTACAGTTTCTCAAATCCGTGTTGTCGATTGATCCAGTTTCTTCTTCAACTAATAATAGGTGTTGGGGTTTTCCTGATTGCTCTGTTTCAAAACAGTATCGGCAAATATCAAGCTGAATTTATAGTTGTCAACACTGGAACGTGAGATCCTTTGTTTCAATTAATGTCATACTTTGCAAGGAAACATTTTCACCTGATTGAGACCTGCAGCTGTGCTTATTAACGCCTGAGGAATTCTAATTATAGCTGCAGACCTTTTTTTTTCTCCAGACCAAGCGTCTTTTCAGTTTTAACTGACTTCAGGTAATGCCCTTCCTGCTACATAACTAACACAAAACACAAGGTCTGTTGACTCATAAATGCTGACGCTCGTACTTCTTTCAATAATAATCAGCAAGACAGGTTGCAGAATTACATTTTTTTTACTGCTTTCTAAAATCATTTGTAGTAATGTTATGCTAGTTGGTTATGCTAATTAGAAACAGAAACAGTCATCTGACTGAGTTAAAATGTTATGTTTCTTTAGAAAGAGCCTGTACCACCTTGATTGTATCAGCACAAGGCCCTAAGAGGTTTAGTTATTTTCAGTGTCTTTTCCACTTAAAGGTGCCTACAAACTAGACAAAATTGTTGTCTCTGTTGCCCTGCCCAGCCCCTCTACCTCTATCTGTGGCTTGGCATGTGAAGACCTCCTGCCTTGGTGGCAGAGAGGATCGATGGGAAGAGGAGATGTGCTCTCATATAGGGTCCTCCTTATCTCCCAGCTGTCTTCTCTGGGCTCTAAAGAGGGCCAGTTTCACAGCAGAATGATCCATCATGCTGGCCTCACACACCTGAGCTGTGCTTATTTTCTCATAGATGTGGAGGTGGACCTCCTGCCAGGAAGTGAAAACTGGACAAAGCTTTTACTCTGGTTACCTTTGTGCCTAGACCCCTTTTTTCCCATACTTTTTAAATATAGACATGTTGGTTTGGGCATGATTTTTCAACTTACTTGATTCCATAAATGACAATCTAAATTGTAAGTGGAATTATTTTAAGGATCAAACATCTTAAATGGAACATTTTACTACGTTCAAGTCATTTTTCTTATGAAGAATTATTTCAGACATGAACTTGGAGAATGGGAAGTTATTCTTTTGGAATATTGCAGGCAACATTAAACTTGATCATTACCTCGACCTCGTTTGATGATTTGTCTGCCGCTGCCTGCCGTTAAAAGGTAGCCAGAAAGGTGACACCCAGGCAGAACATTTATCGCACTATGTAATGTGTTTTATAGATGCATTGGGCTTTTTCAGAATTTCAATTTAAAATGTGTTAGAGCCTGTCACAAGTGCACTATTGCCGGTACCATGGGCTTCCCTCTCTCTTTACAGTAAATGCAGTGCACTATATTATCGGCTTCACCATCTAGATTCTACTGTCTTTATAGTGGAGAGTTATGAGGGGTTCATTTACATACACTTTAAATTGCAAAAGCAGACGCTGGGCCAAGCGGTCACAAGAAGGAACAGATTCAGAGTGGGACATGAGCCAGAACAAGTTTTGAGCAAGCGTGTGTGGGATTTAAACACATATGAACATATAAACTGACACTTGTTCCGCAGTGTGCTTACATTAGTGGCACAAATGTAACACCAAAATTATCAGTATCGCAATATGTACGGATCCGACCAGAAGGATGTTTTTTTTTTTTTTTTTTGTTTTTTTTTTGAGTAAAACTCACTCTGTATCTCGCTCGGAAAAATGTTACGCTCGATGAGTTTTGCAGCTCACAGATGCAATGTATATCAGATATTTGTGTGACAGAATTTATGCAAATCCAACTCAAATTTAGCAGCAACGATTCAATAATATTATCTGATCTCATGGTACGATGTGCAGATGCTCTGTCTGCACTGACGGAGATTTACTCACCTCATAAATATTAAACTAAAGCTGCAGCAAAAATAAAATACCTCTTCATGATACAGTAGAACATTAAATTTCACACCCATGACCCCAATACACATGTGTTATTGAAACTGACTGCCTGAAAAGTGCAGTCAGTTCTCCGTTACCTCCATTATCAAACTGGGCCTGGTAATGGCCTGACTGGTAATGGAGACATGATAGGAGTTGATTTTATTTTAAATGGGCTTAATTTTCTCGCATTTAAATCTACCTGATATGTTTGTTTTTTTTTTTTTGTTTTTTTAGCACATTAGGATACCTGGCAAGGTAGGAAACAGTGTGACAGCAGTCATACTTGTTTCAATCACATCATAATATATTCCAGTAAAAAACAGAGAACAATGTATGATTTTGCTTGTCATCTACTAGAGCACTATAAAAAATAATGAGGGTCAGTGATAATAAAGCCTTGGGATTCTTTAGTTTTAATTACTTTTTTTCATATTCCTGGTGTTTGTTGTTGAGACGAAAAAAAAAATATTGGATTCATACACCCCAAGGTTCGATTGCATCCTTAGAAATCACTGATGGGAATTCTCTTTCAGCTGTTCACTCTTAGTATTGTGCACGCAATGGGGTCACCCGAAATAGTACTGTTATCTGCGTTAGATGTGTTGGTCTCACTGGGATTCCGAGCATACATTGAGGGAAATAACAATGATCTCTGATAATAGCACACTAAATGAGGCCTCTGTGAATAGAGGGTAATTATGAATAGTACCACGTTGTCTGTGTGATGTGTGTCACAGCATGGCTGGGCACTGGCGCAGTCCCAAAAGGAAAGAGCTAATGTAAACATTATGTTGTCTGCCCTTCCCTTTTCTTTCCATTTGTGCCTTTCTAACACACAAAACCAAGGATTCAAGCTCATATTGAACCATGTAATGATACCATGAAGCCCTGTGAAGGCTGTGTGAAGAGGGGGAGCTCCCCTTGCCTTTGATGTGTCTATCTTGAAGGGGAATTGCCTCATTACCATTCTAACCAGAACCATTGGCCATTTAGCACTAGGCTTTAACTAGACCACCCAAACAAATCGTTCTTCTAAGGTCGGGCCTCCTTTTTCTTCTCCAGTTGAGCATGTCTGGGCTCAATATGGGGTTGTTTTCTCTGTCCATGAATTCACCAG